TTGTTGGGGGTGACTTGCCATTCAACCCACACAAAAAGTTATATCTCAGATCCAAATAGACAGATGTAAGCAAGGTCTTGATCAGTAAATGCTCAACAAATAGAGACTGATTTGATGCAAGAGGTGGAGTCACAGATTAATGAGGGCGGACTCCTAATTTTCTATCCCCATAGAAATCTCGAATGAAAAAACCAGATCACCTTTTGGGCAACAGCCCATTCTGAAATGGTCTCTCACCTTATTTTTACCTCTGCCTCATACTTTTTATAGAAATGCTCCCTGGCATAGCACAAGACGTTCCTTTCAAAAATGATGAGATGCTTTCACACCGGCTCAATTACTCTAATTTGATAGTAAATTGGAAATGTTGCTGGTACAAGGTAAGCTGATGCAAAGACTACTGAAATATTTTGATTTGGCAGTCTGACATCTCTGGGTAATTTAAAATTCACTAAGATGGAGTTTTAGTGGAAAAGCAGAGCGATTATATTCTCTTCGTCTGTTAATTACATTTGCATGGAGAGCTATGAATTGTCATTAGGCAAACAGTAAAACTCACTATCATGAATTTCTAGCCTGACTGCTAAGACATCTGATGCCTTTACCATTGAGAACTCAGCTAAGACTTTAATTTTTATGCCATTTGCAGTGTCTTTTTCTGCCTACTCCACCAGCCATTCTTTTATTTATTTATTTATTTATTTATTTTAATTTTTTTTTTTTTTTTTTTTTTTTTTTTGAGACGGAGTTTCACTCTTGTTACCCAGGCTGGAGTGCAATGGCGCGATCTCGGCTCACCGCAACCTCCGCCTCCTGGGTTCAGGCAATTCTCCTGCCTCAGCCTCCTGAGTAGCTGGGATCACAGGCACGCGCCACCATGCCCAGCTAATGTTTTGTATTTTTAGTAGAGACGGGGTTTCACCATGTTGACCAGGATGGTCTCAATCTCCTGACGTCGTGATCCACCCACCTCGGCCTCCCAAAGTGCTGGGACTGCAGGCGTGAGCCACCGCGGCTGGCCTCCACCAGTCATTCTTAATTCATTAATTAATTCAACAGATATATGTGGAGCAGCCATGAGACAGCTTTATCCCAGGCACTTAGAATACACCAGTGAACATAACAGACAACTCTCCTTCAAAATGTATCTCATTTCTATAGTCCCTGCTAAGTGAGGTCAAAGCTGACATTCAAGATGTTCTGTGGTGGAAACTGGCTCCCATCAGGGGCCACCTTTAATTTGGATTCTGGAAGACTGGAACTTTGAGATAAAAGAAGAAAGAGAAGAAGAAGGAACAAGAAGAAAGAGAAGAAGAAAGAAGAAAGAAGAAGGAGGAGGAGGAGGAAGAATAGGAAGGAGGAGGAGGAAGAGGAGGAGGAGGAAGAAGAAGAAGAACAAGAACAAGAACAAAGAAAGAAAGAAAGAAAGAAGAAAGAAAAAGAAGAAGAAATGAATGAATTAAAGCAAGCAAGCTTCATGATCAAATGACTATGGGTGGAGTTGATACCTTGGGATCAGGAGCCCTGCCCAGCCCACCTCAAATTCCTTTGGTAGTACTATAAGGCAGGTGCATTTATAAGGAGCCATGCTTTCTGATTTTTAGTCCAGAATCCAAATTTTCTAGACCGGAGTAGCAGATGTTACCAAGAAGAGAATGCTGGTCAGCTTTCAGGTTATGGGGAATATTTCGTTTTCTTTTAGCCATACCAACCAAAGAGAAGAAACCAATATGGTGAAGAGATCTCAAGAACATGTTATAGGAAACAACTAACAAGTGCTTTGCCTAAACAGCACTGGGCAGAGGCTGGTCAACCTCAGTGATGAAGGTTTCCACCTCTCCAAAAGACTTTCCCATTAAAGAGGGATTCGATATTTTTTCTGTTGTTGTTGTTGTTGTTGTTGTTGTTGTTGTTGTTGTTGTTGTTTTCAGAGGATGGGTAGAAGTTATTTCTAATGCTTTCCTCTTTCTGTACAGAAAGGAGAAATAATGACCACAGGTTATAAGGCCCCTGCTCAGATTCTCAGGGAGAGATGGCGCCCATCGGGGCAACCTCCTCAGGAGGAGCATGACTTGGCTTGTTGAAGGAATGAAGCCCTTACCCATGCTGTCTAGGAATGCTGTCTTAGGGCAGGGGATTTGAGTGACAGCTGAAGGCCCAGAGTTTTAATATTAATAGAGAGGAGTTCAAAGGTAGAATCCATGGTTCTGGAAATGCCTGGGATGCTTCCGGCACTTTCTGGACATTCTCAGCTGTCACATTAAAGTGAAAAATAGTAACTTAGCTTAAAAATGAACTGCTGTTTTCTCAGAGTTTGTTTTTAGCCAGGAAGTGCCTACAGGTTTCGAACACTATTTCATCTATTATATCACTCATCGGGGTAAGCTTCCTAGTCCTTAGTCCTATCTTAGACAGGTAGCCATCAGGTTCTGAAGAACCAGGTCAACAACAGAACCCAGGAATTCTGGTTCGGGGTAAGTACTGTATACACTCAGCAGGGCTAATGATTTAGATTTAATTAACAATGTGGACATCTGTTTAGAGTAACAAGGTAAAAATTCAAACCCTAGCTGCTGGTTATTTACCCATTCAAGTGAAAATGGGCAGAGGGAGGCACATTTGCAAAAGTGACCTGACTTCCTTTTTAAAACTGTCTTTCTTCTCTACCTAACATGTAGCCAGATATCATAGACTAAGTCAATAACTAAATTCCTCCTGAAGTGACTGGAATGCTGAAAAGGGACGGGTCTGTCTCAGAGTCACATTGGTGATGCTGGTGGGCATGACATCTAGCAATCAGAACCCAGCCAATGACTCACAGGAGATCCCACCTGTACTTTGTTAGGAATGGTCTCCCCAAGGATAATAGAAGATGACTTTAAGATAAAAACAATAACATTCTTCAATAAAAAGCACAAAATTCAGTCCAAGAGCAGGGCCCTAATGAAATGCACAAATTAAGGTATTAGGAATTAAAATAATTAAATTTTAAAAAGCGAAGGCCCCAGATTTCACACTGATGGTTGAGGTGTCCAGCATTAGAACTGGCTGCACCATGGTTTTGGGATGCCATCAAGGACTGTGGCCGAAAACCTGTCTGGAATGTTGCAGAAGGAATTTCTCCAAGTGCAGTGCTTCAACCTCTACATCAGCTTGTTAAAAACAAAGACTCCTGGGCTTCGACCAGGAATACCAACTAGGAATGTCTCCAGGAGAGCCCAGGAATCTGCTGGTGACTCTTCACACGCTAAAGTTGGAGAACTGCTGGGTGGCTGCCCTGCGTGGTGAGCTTGAGTGAATGCTGGCTAAGGTTTCGCTCCATCCAGGCAACCTCTAACTCTAGGAATTGATCCAGGATACTTTCACTTCCTTCATCATTTTTGAAATGCCTGTTTTTCAAAAAACTAAATTCTTCTTTGAATCCATGATCCCCACATTTAGCTTCCTCTGCATCTGGCCTAACCCCACCTATAAAACAGGCATAGGAACTGTATTTGATAAGCATCTCTTTCAGTAACACAGATGAGCAAAATGCATTCCTCAGTGCGACCCACGTACTCCATTTCCACACACTGTCCTGCCCTATCTTGCTTATTTCTTAGAAAGAGGAGTATGATGAGAGAGGCATCCTGGCCTTGCAAACACGTCTGTTACTGTCTCCTGGGTGTCAGAATGAGGAAAGGGCACAGAGAGGAGGTTGCAGAGGACAGGCTGGGGCTGTCCAAGAAGGGAGGCAGCCAGGCAGCTGGTTACAGATGCAGCTGGTGCCACATGGCAATCTGCCGGCGCGGGTTTTTGAGCATCTCTTCCCAGTGGCTGCGCTCAGAGCCCGAGGTGTGCAAGCCCAGGCTGCAGTGGCCGAGCGCACAGCTCTGCCCTGCCTCGTCCTGACCCAGCACTTCCAGCTCCACACTGGAGGCCTGCAGCAGGTCGTCAGGCAGCTCAAACATAATCATCTCGTTCCACACAGGGTTGACCTTGTGCTTGGCTCGTTTCGTCTGCTTCTTCTTCAGCTTCCGAGCCTGGTGCTTCAAGGTCACCTTGACAGAGACATCTGGGGAGGGGCAGGGGAGAAAAGAGACACAGAGAAGGACCAGTAGTGAGTTTCTGGGATCTGGCAGGGCCCAGGACAATGCTCCCTCCTGGTGCTGGAAAGATGATGTCTCTAGCTCAAGAGTTTGGGCATCTGTGCCCCATATACCCAAACATCCTCGAAGCCTCCGTTTTTCCTTCTGGATACCACAGCACAGGTCCCAAGTCTATGTGACCAAAGAAGGCTCTTCTGTGTAAGCAAGAAAGCATTCTGCCTGGATAATCTGTAACTCTAGGAGCTGATCCAGGCTACTTTCACTTCCTTGCATTGGGGATCATTCTCCACTCCCGCACTAGGCCATGCATTCATTCAACAAATATTAAGTGCTTACCCTATGGCAGGCACTGGTCTAGATGTAAGGATACAGCGAAAGTTCTTGCCTGTATAGAACTTACACTAAAGTGTAGGAAACAACCAATACCAGGATATACGACTGGCCACTGGGTGGCCTGTGATCGGGGCATGTTAGAGTACCACCAGGGAACCGCCCTTTGCTACATGACTCCATATCCCCACATCAAATGAATATGGCCAACCTGAGCCCAAAACGCATACTTCAGCTATTGTCCAGGACAATAGCTCAGGGGTCCTGCAGCTGGATTTTAAACTCAGACCAAAAAAAAAAAAAAAGAAGCCAGCTCTCAAGTCTTATCCCCTTCATTCTTGATCTAAACGTTTTTGTCTGTTATTAAAATAGGAGATCCCTGCTGGTTCGTTGAGTTCTTCTCATCTGCACTTTTAAAAGTTTAATTGAAGACCCCAACTTCATGTGGCAGAGGAATGAAGGCAGACTGCCTGTTCCTGCACACTCCCCCAAAGTCAGGGCACTGCACCGAGAAAGCTGCCCCCGAGGAAATCCACAAACAGGTCCCCAGGCGAGCTTTCATGCCACATCACAAGGCTGGACTGGATTACTTAGTCAAGGTTTCTGAAGTTAATGTGAGAATAATTGTTACTTTGTATTTATGGCTGTAATTATCACCCCTCGGAGGTTAGTTTGTTATTTCTGCAGAGATGGTTGAGCGAAAAAGTGTCCTACTGTAATTGTCCTGACCGGAGCCATAAAAAGAGAGCTAGAAGCAAAGAATTCTCTAAAGGGGATGAGATAAAAGCATTGAACTCTGACCTTTGACTCAGGAACCTGCCAGCAAGACCAACTCTTCTGATTTCATTAGCCCCAAGTCTTTTGCTCGAAATTCTGAATGTAGTGGCAATTCTTTATTTGTACCCTGCTATAAATAGAGATTTATTTATATCTTGTTATGAGCACGTGGCTTCTAGTGCAGTTATTATCTGGCTAGCCAAGATTGCTTTCCTGCTTATATAGGAGAACTTGCTGTGGTCTCCGAGATACTGGACCTGAGCTGGGGTATCCAGAAGGAAAAACTGAGGCTTCTAGGTTGTTGAAGAAAAGCTTATTTGGGTATTTGGGGCACAGATGCCTGAAGACTCAGGCCTCAGCCCACGTACCCACACACCTTCTGCCGTCAACCACACTCAGCTGGTGTGGGGGTGGCAGTTGGCAAAGGCTGAGAAGAGAAAAGAGACTGGGGTGGGTGGGGGGAGTATAGTGGTGGTGAGTTCAGAAAGGAGGGAAAGAACCCGCACTTTCTGACACCTGCCTGAGAGGTGAGTCCAGCCAGGTGTGGGTGACAAGGGCTAGACCAAGTTTTCCCGACAACCCAGGCCCTTCACTCCACGGCTATAGTCTGATCCTTGGCTTCTTGTGCTCTATGGGTAGGCCTGATGGTTCTCATAGTGGACCTCCAAGGTAGGAAGCCCCAGGCAGCTCACACTTGGGTCCTAACATATGGGATTGCCCCAGGAGTAAATGGATGTGAACTCAACAAAGTGAGTGTGTCCTTGAAAATCAGTTTGTGAACTTAGGGTGAAGAACACAACTGAGCATGGCTCCACAGATGTGCTCATATTCCACCCCCCTGCTTACCTGTTAACCATTTCTTCCTAGGCACCACCTCCCTCTGCACACACTCCCGGTAGCTGGAGGGGCCTTAGCTGTCCTCTCACATGTCACTCACCCTTCCCCAGCAGCTCCTTGGACTGGTTAGAGTGGAGGTTCTTGGCTTTAATCAGTACCACCAGGAGGCGGTTGGCAGCCGGGAGATAGCTGATGGATAGAAGGACCTCTCCAGCTCCTGCAGATGGCTCCTGAAACAGAAGAGGAGACGCAGGAGGGGAGTCTCACCGTCCGGCTTCTGACCCATCAACAAATGCTGAAGCTGGAGTCAGGCTGGACTTGCACCCAACAGGCATCCTCAAGATCATTTACCCGTCAATGCCGGGGTCTCCACCCTTGCAGAAGAGAGCGAGGCACAGAGGAATTCCACGTAGCATGGGCGTCAATGGCAGTTTCTTTGTTTGCCACAAAATGTGATTTTTCACATACCATATACTCAAACTCAACATACAAAACAGAGCAAAGAGATGCTGCTCAGATGCAGCAGGGGTAGGAGGCCAGAATGCCCTGTTATTCTTCACCTTCTACCACCCCAAGCTCCTGGGACACACCTCTGTTCTCTAGGGCTTCAGAGAACAGTTTCAGAATTTCTGCATTGACCCATCAGGTTCCTGGTGCAGCAGGAGAGTTGTAATTCACTACTTTGTTTGAAAAGGTAATTATTTCCAGCTCCAGAGGGTTGCTTTATCAACAGAGTGACCAATTACATCAATGAAGTGCTGGAGCAGATGATGGTAGATCATGCCCAGAGGCAACTGGCAATAACCACACCTCGAAGGAGGTACTGATGCCCCGATGAAGCATCCAAACAAACACATTTATCCTTGTGTGCAGCTTTACAGTAACTCTCCTGAAATTCTGACAGGGGTTTGTTTGGAATTTCAGCAAGTCCATCAAGGGGCAAGAACAACCAAAAGACCCCTACCAGGAGGTGGGTGTTTGGTTGCAATCCAAGCTCTGGGGAGACCTGGCGGGAAAGAGAAGGGAGTGTGTAGGCAGGGATCAGCTAAGGTCAGAAGTTTCCTCTGTTGAGCAGAAAGCCGATGCCCTTCCCTTGAAATCTCAAGGAAGAGGCACACGTGTGGCCTGCTGTGCCAAGATGAAGTGTGGAGAGTGGGAGTGGGGGGAGAGCGCAGGAAGCTTGTCCCTCCGGATGTCCCAGCTTTCAGTCTTGTGCCCCTTCTCTCCAGCTTTGTTCCTCTTTCCCAGCTGTGCAATAAGGGTAATTCAGTGAGGTCTGGTACCAGGCTGGGGTCCTGGCTAACAGCCACAACGCCTCCCTAAGCTTCCTCCTCTCCTGTCACACCCAGCACACATGATGATGCCTGTTCATCCACACTGGACCAGGCACTCAGAAGGGTTGAAATCAGTTTTTCTCTGCTCACTGTGGCCTCTTGTGGATCCATTCATTCAGCAAGCATACATAATGCACCTACTGTATTCCAGATGCCGTAATTAAAGCCATGAACAAAACACAGTCAGCCTCCAGGGAGCTTGCAGTCACTTGGGGAAGACAGACAGGAAGTGATTAAATAAATAACATTGGGCAGCATTAGCAGCGTATGAAAATCAAAGGATGAAGTGAAAAAAATGCTTATAATAAGTTGTCTGGAAAGGTCATAAATTACAATTCTAATGACAATAGTCAAAACAACAATTATTAATAATCCAGAATAAGAGTAATGTTGAGAGCATAGACTCTAGACCAGGTTAACTGGGTCTGAGTTCCAATCCTACCGTTTACTACCTGTGTGACCTTGGGTAAGTTACTTAACTTTCCTAAACCTCTATTTCTGCATGACCCCAATGATTCCACAAGTCGTGGGGAACTAGCCTTATGAGGAAATGATGTGGGAGCCCCAGAGGATCTTGGCAAGGAAATGAATGATAGCAGCTAATGTTTATTAAGGACTACGTGCTAGATGCAATTCATTGCCCATTCCACTAGACCGTAAGCTCCACAGTGGCCTCCATTCACACTATGCAGTCCCAGCATCTGGCACACAGTGGGCACACAATAAATATTTGTGAAAAAAGGGTAACACATCTCCTTTATAATGTTGACAACAACCCCGAAAGAGCTACTGATTTTGTTCCCATTTTAAGCATAAGAACCTGAGATTCGGAAAGGGAACATCACTGCCAGAGGTTATGTAGGCAGGAAGTACCAAAATCCTTGGACAGGAGGTCTAGTCTGATAGCAAAACCAAAGTCCTGAATCTGTGGCTCTCCAGTTTTCTCAGTGGACAGCCCTCCCCAACCCTCTCATTTTGCAGTGAAGGAACTGAGGCCCAGGGACTTGTACCAGGCACCCAGAGAGGTGTCTGCAGAGTTGGGATGGGCACCAGCCTCCTGGCTCATAGTCAATTATTAGAGGACCACAGATAGCCTGGGCTACAGCCACAAGGTGATCAGACATGAGTCCTCTCTCCCTGCAGACCAGGTGAGAGGAGTCAGCACCTGTTGGCCTCTGCAGGGCTCTTCGCTTTTGCATAGAGTGAGGTCTGACTAGCCTAGCCAGCTGTACCATGGCCAGAGAATTTCAACAGCACCTGCTCCCTGGGCACTGCTGCTGAAAGTACCTGCGGACTAAAGTAATCCTTTCTTTCTTTTTCCCTCCCCTGGTTTTCCCTGCACCTCTTTTTCTCCTGGGGTCTCAGTGAACCATGTAAGGCTGCCCTTGGAGTGAGTTGCCCTGTGGGTCCCTCTTGATGTGCATGGCACTTTTGACTGAGTACCTTCCAGTTAAAACTGGGCAGTGTGGGCACCTCTGTTAACCCATGCTGGCCTAGAGAAGAAAAACATCTGGACTACAATGACTGAGGGCTTCACTCACCTTGTTCAAATCAGCCCAAACCCTCAAGCTGGGGTGAGGGGCTCCCTGGCCTGGACTTCTGCTTTCTCCTGCCCTATACACCCAGAATGTCACCTCCTACTTCTGACTCCATGCCATCCTCTGAGATCGTTCACATTTGTCATAAACAGGCCAGTGGTCAAAGTAGTGGTGAGTACATATTTGCAGAACAGAAAGAACGACAGAAACTATGACAATTATTAGGATGGATGAACTACGAGGCCAGGCTTCATCTTAATCGTGGTTGCTGTGTCCTTAGCTCTTGGCACAGTGCCTGGCACATGGTAGAAACTGGGCAAGGTATTTGCAGAATGAATGAATGAGTGAGTGACAGCTGCGCCTCTAGCAGTGGTGAGAGAAGCATGCTAGGTGCCTGAGACTTCTGCCTAGATTGGCTGGATTTCCACCCTTTGGGGGCTGTACCAAGTCTCAGAGCCCAGCAGGGGAGTCTCTGCATCTCGAGAGAAGGCTAGTTTACTAGTTTAATAATCCTAAGTATCGATTCCTTCTCCCAGGATCCCCATCTGTGATTCCACAGAAGTCCCAAATCACACATTAATTAGAGAGTGGGCTTTGGAACAGCTGAGTTCCATCTGAGAATGGCTGTGATTTTTCTATCAATTTTCTGAGCCTGGGAAAGAGGGGAAAATGGAGCACGGAGGAAATCATAGCAAAAAGAGGAGCAGGCAGGGAGTGAAATGTAGTCTTCCCTCTTGCCATCTTTGTGTCTATTAGGAAAGGTGCCTGCTGGTCACACCTCTTACTTCTCAGGTGGCCTGTATGGCAAGTAATGACATAGCACAGGATTTAGTCAGACCAACCCAGCCTCGAGGTCTGCCATTTCCTGGCTGGGGGACCCTGTGTGGACTCCCTCAGTTTCCTCATCTGTAAGGGGGATCGTCATGGTGTCTCTCTTACCTGGTTGATTTGGGGAGTGGCAGAACTCAGATAGAGTCCTAAGCATAACAACTGATACATGGTGAACATTAAAATATAGTGCCCTAATCCGCATATGTCTTTTTGTTCTAGCATGAGGATTGGCAAACTTTTTCTAGAAAGGGCCTGATAGTACCTATTTGGGGCTATGCAGGTTATACAGTCTTCAGATTAGCTTAGCACTGCCCATCTGGTTGGGAGACTAGTCACTCAGAAGGTTCCCTCAAGGCACCACAGTGTAGGCCCTTGGATGGGGCTTTGACCCAGGGGCCTAAGTAACTACATACCATCTTGTAGCCCTGACCCTCCCAGACCCCCCTGCTGTCCCAGCCCATGGGGAACAACGATTTGCTCTCCAAGGGTCCCCTTTCTTGAGGGCTGTGGCATCTCAGAAAACCCTTCTTTCCCACCCGTGGCTCCCCAACAGCAGATGGGAGGAAATCATCCTGAGGCTGGGGACTTTGTGGACCACTGGGCTCTGGGCCTGCCCCCAGCCCTGGTTGCTCCTTCAGAGCCCAGCACATGGGGCCTTCTAGAATTCTTTATCAGAGCACACTGGTTAGATCGCTCTTACATGGCTCAATGTGGAACACATCATCATCACTTGTCTGGGCCAATTTGGCCTCTGGTCTGTAAACTCCTGAGTGGCGGGGCTCCACCCTTGCCCCTTCATGCTCATCTGCACAAAGAGAGGGAGGGTAGAGTGCCCTGCAGTGTCTGGCACATAGTAGGAACACACAGAGTATAACTGGATTGAAATGGGGACGATACTTCATAGCAGTAAAGATAATACACAGAGCGTGGCATTTTCCATGATGACAGAGAGAGTCTTCGCACAGTAAGTTAGATCCCAGATGAGGAGCAGACACCAGGGATCCCAGATCCTGGGCCATGTGTCTCCTCTAACCCTCTGTCTCCTTCAAGATTCCAACCTCTCTTCCAGCTCCAAGCCAGGAAGATCTCTGAGGCTTGTTCCCTAAGACCTGGCCTAGAGTAGCTGGGAGGACACCTGGTTCTGCCATCCCATGCTGCACAGTCAGGGTTTACTTTCTAACCCAGGGGTAACCCTACCTTCGCTGAAGTCTTCAGCTCACCCCACTGGGCAGCCCCCAGAGGCACAGACGTCCCGTCCAGGCCCAGGCGAAGCTCCCCGGCCACACTGTGGCGGGAGAAGCGGTCGCAGGTCCTCAAGGTCAGCGTCAAGGTGGCTGTGGGGAGCTCCTCCTCCGCCAGAGGGAGCACCAGGCCCTCCTCCCAGCTGGTGCGCAGCTGCCGCTTCTTTAGGGCCGTCTGGGCCTCCACAGAGCCAGTCCTGTTGGCCACACTCCCTTGGACGTAGCAGTCACAGCCTCCATCATGGTTGCTGGTCACAGCTGCAGGGAAGGAGAACAACACAGGTGGGACTTTCTGAGGACAAGCGGAGGGGGCAGAAGCACGCCTTGCTTAGGGCTGTGGAATCCAGCTCAAGTTCATGACCTTGAGTTTCTGAAAGGTTGACCACCCTGGGCACCCAGGAATCGCCTTTCAGTGAGACACACAGAAATAGATCATCTGGGGGACTGACCTGAGCACAAGCTGATTCTCTTTCCTAGAGAACAGGGACAAGACCTGGCACTTCCTAGAGCCCCCTGAGCTCTGGATTCTGAAATTTTGCCAAGGTACCAGGGCTTGCTGCTGGGGGCCTTTATGAGTGATGTTGCTGACATGTAACCGTTCATTCTGAACTTTAAATAGTCACTACATAACCATTTCCCATGTGAATCACTTGGCTGTTACCTCATGAGTGTGGCTTTATGTGCTGAACCTTGGTGTTTTCAATGCTTCACCAAGGACATCCTCAGGCTGCTCGGCTCTTAGACTGTAGAAACTTTTCTGACTTTTCAGAACACCCTCCATGTCCAACACAAAGCCCTTTCCAATTTCAAATTCATCTATGGCAGAGACAGCTAGCTGTTCACCCCAAACTCATTCCTTTCCTTCCTAGGTACCTGCTAGCCCACATTTCCCAGCCTCCTTTGCAGTTGGGTGTGCTCATGTGACTGAGTTACAGCCAATGAGATGCAAGCAGAAGTGATATCCACCAAGTCCAGGTAAAGGCTATTAAGGAGTGATTGTGCCCTCTCCTTCCCTTCCTCCTCCTACCTGCCAGATACAGATGACAAAGATACAGATGACAAGGAGAGGGTTATGGAGCCACAGCTGGAAGGAGCCTGGTCTTTGAAATCACCATTTGGAGAAAAAAAAAAAAATGTTTGTCAACCAGGAATCCCCACTTTGGACTACTGGGGCTGGGGGTGTGGGAAGTCTTTGTGTCTGGATTCCATGTGTTCCAGAATCTGGTTGTTAGAGTTCTAATCCAGTGCTCCCTCCAGCTACAGATGAACCCATCCTGCCTGCACAGCTCCTCCAGGGGAGATGGACACATAGAAACCCATGAGAGTCAAATAAGAGCAGTACCTTCCAGGCGAGTCACAAACAATTCAGCCTTCTGCCGATCATAGTCCAGGCAGTAGTGGAGTTTAGGGGCCTGGTTCCAACTGGCAGCTTTCTCTGGGTTCCAGGTCTCCATGACACAAACATCCTCCACCACACCTGTTAAGAAAGGCATAATTGTCACTGCCACCCACACGGGGACTCTGCTCTCCCATCTCTATCACCTGTGCCAGGAACCCAAATCCAAGTCTTCCCAGCTATGTGCAGAATCACAGGAGCCACAGGAAGACAACACATGGGGTCAATGTCACAGCCCATTAGGCTGCATCTGGGTCCACTGGCTCCCTCACCAACCACACAAAACAAAACAGAGACTACACAACAATCCACTCTCCCTGCTTTATGTTTTGTCTTTCTAAAAGGCCTACGTAGTCCTTTAAGCCAGATACTGTGTCTCTGCTTCCCATTATCTTCCCAGCAGCAGCACAGTACACCTAAAGGTGCTGCACTCAATATTGATGCTGATAAAAAGGAGAGTAGAAATAATAACAATATGTTTTGGCTGGGTGCGATGGTTCATGCCTATAATCCCAGCAGTCTGAGAGGCCAAGGCAAGAAGACCACTTGAGCCCAGGAGTCTGAGACCAGCCTGGGCCACATGGTGAGATCTCACATCTACCTCTACAAAAAATAAGCAAAAATTATCTAGGCATGGTGACGTCCACCTGTAGTCCTAGCTACTCAGGAGGATGAGGTGAGGATCACTGGAGCCTGGGAGATTGAGGCTACAGTGGCCCGTGATCATGCCACTGCACTTCAGCCTGGGAGACAGAGCAAGACCTCACCTAAAAAAAACTGCTTGGGACCTTATTTCAAAACAACAACAACAACAACAAAAAACCAATATGTTTTTTGTTACATCCTTTGTGCCAGGCTCTGAATTAAGCTTTCCATGTGCATGGTTTTATCTACACTTTACAACTCCCCTACCAGACAGATAACAGTCTAGTCCCATTTTGTAGATGGGGAAACTGAGGTTCACAGAGTTACAGCAAGACCCATGCCACAGAGCAAGCATATGAAAGGGCAACGAATTAAAGCCATGACTCTGAAGCCCATGGTTTTAACCATAGCTCTTTTTCCTGTCTCAGTCACACACACATGACTAGAAAGGGACTCCATTTCCCAGAGGAAAGTTGGTGGCCTGGGGGAGAAGTGCTATGGCACCATGTTGTCAGAAAGAAAGAAACATAATTCTGAGGCCCAGTGCCCACCTGCTTGGCCAGCATCAAATGCCGGGGGCGCTCGGCCTCCTCATTAGGCCACACACAGCATCTGCAGAGACATTGACAAACCCCACTGGAGTGCTGCCCATGGCAGTGCGGTGGGCAGGAGACCCCTACCATTCTGAGGGAGGATGAACAGCTCCTCTGTGACCTGCCTCTTGAGGCGGCTGTCGTTCAGAGGTTGGGGGCTGGCAGGTGCAGCTGGCTCCTCCGTGGACCTCAGTGAGTAGTCGGCGTAGTTGATGACCTCTGGAGCCGTCACAGCTGGCCTGGGTCCATAGATGTCTGGGAACTTGAGGACGGCACAGGGCTGAACAGGTTCCGTGGATTTTTTAATGTTGAACTACAAACACAAATTACTCTGATTAGTCCACAAGGAGCCCTCCCATCTGTTTCCCCCCCTGGAAGGGAGAAGCGGTGAACTGACCTTTTGTAGGAGGCAGGAGGAGAGGTGTGGTTTCATTCCGCTCCAAAGAGCACAACCTAGGAAGGTCTAACATCATCTCCAAACCCACCCAAATCCACAACCCACTGAGATGTGGGCCCTGCACATCCATCCCTCCTCCACCCATCAGCCCGTCCATCAGCCAGTACCATGCCGGCGGGTACTGCCTGGACCTGCTGCAGGTGTCCCCACTCTGCTGCTGTCATCTGCTCCGCTTGCCTCTCCATTCTCCCTCCTCCCTTCCTCCCTCCTCTCCTCCACCTAATGGCTCAGAAATGCCAGTGGCTCCCGCCATACTTGAAACACAATCCAGATTCCTTGTAGCTTGCCTAGCTTGATCCTACTCATCTCTCTGACATCGTCCCCAATCCTCCCTTTGCTCACCTCCAGTCACTGAGCTCCCTGCTTCTCAAACAGCTTGGACTCTTTCCTTGGTCCAGCTTCCAAGCCCCTAACTTTTCCTCCCAACCCGCCCACCCTGACCTCCACCAGCTTTTTGCATGACCTGGCTCTATCTCACACCTGAAGTCTGACCAGGGAGTCCATCTCTAACCTTCCAATCTAAATTAAATCCCTCCTTCAAGCCTGTCCCTCCCTCTCACTCTAGGTTGTTCTGGTCATAGGCTGGGCTGTTTGTAGTAAGTCTCTCCCACTAGCACATGAGATCTATGAGCACAGGAATTATGTCTTGTCTTGCTTCTGCCTAGATTAGCCTGGTCCAAAGCCCACTGCCTCCACGGCTCTGGATGTTTGTCCTGACTTCAAATCTTTCCCCAGCACAGCAGCCCTCATCAGAAACACTAATCATCATCTTGTTACACACAGCAATTAGTCACCCTGGGAGACACATGTGTGACTTGCAAAATCAAGTTCCCTTTGCACCTCCGTCCCCAATGAGAGCGTCACTGTTCTCAAGTTGCTGCGTCCCTTGTGCCTAGCACGGGGTCAGCTCACAGGGAGCATGCAGTAAGTACCTGTGACTAGGGCTGCCATGTTGTATGATTTGTGCACTGCACAAAAATCTCTGGCTGAGGACAGAGTAGAAGCCAAAATGCAGCCTGTGTGCCATCTGCCCAGTCGTGTGCCCTAGGCTAGGGCATTTTCACTTGAAAATAAAAAGAAATCTTTCTTTTTGCAATCACCCACCTGCTTGTCAAGCCTTAAGTACACTGGGCTCCTCACACAGAGAAGTGGGATCTTCTGTCTTTGCCTCCTCTTTGAGAGACTCAAAGTTATGTGACAGGTAGCAATAGGAGCCTTCCAGCTCCTCAGCGTTGAAGACCAGGTGTAGAGCTTAAATCGCTGGTACCCTGAGTGGGCAGCCCACAAAATGTCCCTCAGGTTAAGACAGGCGGATCTGGAGACCGAGATCGATGACTGAGTCTCCCAAGAAGCCTCCTGTCCTCCAAGCTGGCCCTCCTGGTCCTCCCACCTCTGTGACTGTCACGGGTAGTGGGTGCAGATGGCTGGCAGCAGGACTCACGCTGCCCTACCGGGTGGCAAGAGTGACCCTGCACAGTGTAGGGGTGGAAGTGGATGTGGTCTGGAAGGAGAGGCGGTTAACAGTTTACACTATTTCAGAAAGTTGTGTTTCTAAGTTTTGTACCCTCCTCATTTAGATTTCCTGGGATGAATCCTGGACATTCTGCCCTGGTTGAGACTGTCCCTAACCATTCCCAAGGAAGGCTGGACCTAGGTGACAGGGGCATTCCTCAATTAGTTTCATCCATTGGACACAGAGGGGATCTGCATAGGCTGCAGCAGGGTGCAAAGGGGCAGGAAGCCGGGGCTGGCCTTTGGGGACCTCTTCAAAGTCCACTTCCTGCCAGGGCCCCTCTCCCCGTCGTCCCTGCATTTCCGTGTGTTTTCTTCTGAACTTCATAAGAGGTAGAGATCATCCCTCTTGTACAGATAAGGAAACTGAGGCTCGGAAGAGACTTAAGAAACCCCGAGTTCTCCTCTCAGAAACATCACACAGTAGATTATAATGTAACCTAAGCAAGGACCTGACTCTATCCCGATCACCACTGAATGTGCCTGGCGCACATGGGCTCTAAAAGCGTTTCTGACTTTGGTGGAGTGAAGTGGCCTGGAATCATACAGCTGTTGAGAGCAGCAGCAGAGTAAGCCTAGATCAGCCTGGCCCAAAGCCCACTGCCCCCATAGCTCTCAACATTTTTCCTGCCTTCACATCTTTCCCCAGGACAACAGTCTCCATCAGAAATATACATCATTATCTTATTACACACGGCAACCAGTCACCCTGGAAGTGGCATGTATGATTTGCAAGATCAGGTCCCCTTTGCACCTCCACCCCCCCTGAGAGTGTCACTGGCATCAAGGAGGCTGGCTTCCAGTGCCAACCCTGTCGCTGGAGCTGGGTCACCTTGGGCAGGTCATTTCACCTCTCTGGGTCGTCATCTTAAGTGACAGGTGATTTGCGGGCCATCCCACTCCACATTCTGAGTTGCTTTTTTAGGCTGCAAAGAGGTGAGAGACACCATTGCTTCATTTTCAGGTACAGGTAAGTTGGGGATAATCACAAACAGGTAAATCTGGCCGCCCAGGACTGCAGTACAGAAGCGGACGGGAGGTAGCTTGTGTAAATAACACCTGGTGGCCAGCACACGGTGCATGCAGGACATAATCAGAGGCACCTGAGAGGCTGAGCTGGCCTTCAGGGAGGAGGCAGAGGGCATGACTGAGAGCTTGAAAGAGAGGGGAGTTTGGAAGGTGGGGACGAAGACCAGGGTCAGGGGAATAAAAGTGTGTGCTCCTAACACCAGATACTCAGGGCCCTTGGAGGACACGCATAGAGCAATGACTAATGTCCCCATCTCTCCTGCACAAAGTCACCTCCACCCTCAATAGCTCATATAACTCCGTATTACCTTCATCCTACTGTTTCACAATGAGGAAACCGAGGCTCAGGGAAGCTCGCGATCATACAACTGACAGATGGTATGCTTCATCGAGCCTCCAGATGTTTTTGCTTCAAATTTCACACCATTTCCATTGCCCTACAGCTGCTTCTCAACAGCACCCCCCGACCTCCCCCTGCAAAATCCCTGTTGGTCTTGCCACTGTATTCTAAATGCTAACCACAGCATCCCAGGGGCCGCCCATGGCCACTCCTTCCCATTCATCAGCGCAAAATCTATCCCAGAAGCGGTTGGGCCCCAGCACACACCTAACTTAAAGTTACTCTCTTCTGTCACTTGGTTGGGACAGGAACTAAGACTGTTTGGGTGGCCTGGGAAACATTTTTGTGTTTATATTTGGTTTCATCCCAATTCAATCATCTGAGAAGAGGGCTGGGCTTCATTCCCAGTTTGATGCAATTTGGATGATTTCTGCATTTCCAAGGGGGAAATGGCCACTGGGCTGAGCTCTGAGTGAAGTTCACTCTGCATTGCCTCAAGTCTTGGCAGAGTCTGGCTCTGCCTTCTTCCCTCCCCAGTGGATCTCAATGTATATGTCCCTGATAACCTCAGGATTCTGTTACCGGAGCTTAAAATGCACCCCTAGAGCAACAGATTGGCCATTTCTTGATTGTTGTCCACGAACATCCATTCCCTCTCCCCTCCACCTGCCCTATACGTCACCAGGTTGTCTAGCTTCCACCCTATCCCCAGCTCCCAGGAAAAGGTCAGATCCTACCATTTCTTGGCATTATCTTGATGACTGATTCCAGCCCAGGAGGTGGCACCCATCTTGGGGAAGCCAAGCCAGATGGAAGGGAGATGAAACCCAGATGCATTCCACAGTAGTAGACGAAGTCCCCTCCTCCCTGGACAGGAAAGCGGATGGCCCTGCCTTGTGACTGCAAGGTGAGTCAGCATTGGGGCAGCAGAGTGGAGAGACAGAAGAACCTGTATCCTTGTCATGAAGCTGCTCAGCCAACCAATCTGGCACTCTGTCCTACTTCTGCATTTCAAGTGACATGAGTAGTACTCTTCCTATTGCTGAAGCCAGTTTGAATGGGGATTTTTGTGTCTTGCAGCCAAGAGCATCCCAAATGACACACTGCCTTTTCCACAAGCATCACAGGAGATCATGACCCTGGTGTAGAGAAACCAGGCCTGAGGTAGGAAGCCCCCTCCTGATTCTGTGCATCCAGCCAGAGGCATCCTCATTTTTGTTTATTCTTATCCTGCTTTATCCTGTGTGGCAAATGGCTGGCTTTAGCTGGGAATGACTTACAGCCTTTGCCCAGGCCAAGAGCAGAATCTGGTGACAGTCACATGAGTCTCTTCAAGGAGCAAAAGCGGCAGCTGATTACCTGTCTCCTTCTTCTGTACAATCTTATTTATGCCATTTCAAAAGCCTGGTTTCTCCACATCTTTCAAATGCATCTATCTTTGCACTTAAATAGCTGAAACGTCAGTGCCAGAGAAACAGAAAAGAGGATTTGGGGTTGAGAGAGGGAGCCTGGGAGAGGCTTCTAGGTGAAGAACAAGAACATCTGGAGGAAGGAGGTTTCTGGGGTAGCAGGGCCCCAGAGAGAGAGTTTGCTCCAGCCTTCCACCATGGGTGCAGGAGGGGCAGGACTTAGAATCAGGGATTCTCTGTCTACGTGTCCTTTGAAGCCCAGGAATAGGGCCTGGGAGATATATCTGCAGGACAAACCAGGGAAGGTTTCCAGTGGAGACAGGCATTCAACGATTAGAGGATGGGTACACAGCTGTGCTTAGCATTGCATGTCCATCTCGATGGAGGAATCACACCCTCAGATGTGCCTCCTTAGATTCTCCCAGCCTAACCTGTCCCTGAGACCTTGGGCCGCTTGCTGCTCCCACTGTGTCCAAGCAGCTGCGTGTAGGCACAGCCCCACAGGACCTCGCATTGGGCCCAAGCCGTGCCCTTCTTGCCTTCTGCCCTGGGGCTTCCCCATGGCT